CAACCTAGGGTAGAATTCTTCCCTCCTCTCTTAAAGAACCATACACAGGAGCTGTAACCAGCAGCCCAGATTTTTTTTTTTGTTTGCGATGTGGCTTATTTATTGGAGACACTAAAGTGTACAGTTAGGCTTGGCTCAGAGGCCTGATCAAATCTATGCACTCCTGAGCAAGGCAATAAGGGGGGTTGGATCCTAAATTTAATTTTCTTCCCTGCCTGCCCCTTTGATAAAAGGGGGTTGGGTTGTGGGGACTGCACAAATGCTATGTCCTGCTTTAGACTGAGCTGGCTTCTTCAACCCTTGTCTGCAGCAGAATTGGCCTAGCTGAGTATTGCTCAGCTAAGGCTTTATTCGGCAGAAAATGGCCAAAAAGGCCTGCTTGTCAGTCAGGATTTTGACTTGAAGGTCTTATTGCTAACAATGGGGTTACAATGACCAAATCTGACTTTTCTTAGTTTAGAACTCGCATTAAAAAAGCGCCTCCATCCCAAAAGCCTAACCTATTCTTGAGGTGGCCAAAAAGTGTACAGTTGTGTTTTGTCTAGGTACACTGTAGAATATTGTGGAATAATGTATAAATAGTTGACCTATAGCTGTTGAGTCAGAAGGACTTCCAGTGGTGCTTTGAAGTTCAAGAGGCTATTTTTTTTTTTTGTTAATCAAACTTAGCATATGGAATGTTGTGGAAAACTTTAAGAGATTTCTATTTACGTGTATGTAAAGTGACTTTTTCAGCTGCCTTGTACAGGACTGGACGTGATGTAACTTTACCCACTCCTCTTGCCTATAGCCTCAGCCATTTTAAAGTGATCAACCCCAGAGCACTGACAGACAAAATTCTTCCAACAAAACTTGGTTCTGTTTCCTTTTTCTATGTACATAGTAATTTTTAATAAATGTGGGGGTGGCTCTCTGCCTCTTCTTTGCCTCTATCGGGTGTCCCATCTGGGGGGAGGAGGGAGCACAATCATTGGGGGTGGGGGGTCTGAGTTGTTGCTAAATCTAATCATCCCTTGCAAAATTTCTCCATGCTGCTTTATTCCCTCATCTTGTGCTTATCGGTTACTTCTATGTCTGGTTTTGGATTTTTATTTTTTTAAATATGTATCTTGCTGTTACCGTTCTCCTATGCATCCCCCACAAGCTCTGACAGCCCCCAACCCCCCGGGTGCCTATTTTCCCTTGCCACCTTCCCCTTTGTGGGGCTGCGGGGGGCCAGGTGTGAGCCCTCGTCCTGGCCACCGACTTGTGAACTCGGTCGCCTCCCCACGCAGCAGCGCCCCCCGCCCCTCCCCTCCTTTTCCCGGAACGTCGTAAAAAATTCCCCTGCTCGTTTATCTTGGGGGGGGGGCAAGCCCCTCCTGCCAGACCGATTGAATCCCGGCTCCCGTTGCAGCGGGACCCTTCCCGAGGATATGCAGGCAGTAATGGGATTAAGCTGTCAGCGATGCCCGGCCGCAAACAAAACCAAGCAGGGGCGGAGGCCGGAGCCCTCCCCGCAGGAAGCATAGCCATCGGGGGGCCCTGGCCGCGGCTCCCCGCTGGGCGGCGGGTGGCCGAGGAGATTTCGATCAGCCCTTAACTTCTGGGTACCAGGCTCCGGCTCCGCGCCTTGGCAGGAGGAACAAATCGGGTGCCCGCAGCTCTCCCCTCGCACCGGGAGCGACACCCCGTTTGGGACAATTATACTCGCGGTAATTTTTAAGCGACTAGGGACGGAATTTATATATTTTTCTCCTCCTCCGCATTTTTTTTCTTTCCTCCCGGAAAAGCCAGGGTGTCCCGCTTCCAGCCGAAGGATGCGGTGGCATGCCAGCCGCTGGTCGCCAGCCCTTCCCGGCCTGCAAACGCCGGTTATACAGCGCTAGGGAGCACGATTCAGCCGTGCAACCCGTGTTATTAAAAGCTGTATATTTTTGCACCGCACGGTAAAAAAAAAAAGAACTTAATACTTGTGAAAAGTCCTCACACTGTTTAATAGAAACATAAGTGCCTGGCTGGCCCCAATTAACACCTGGTGATTATAATGCATTCCTAAAATGGGGTGTCAGACGCCAAATTGTGAATAAAGCTATCTAATTAATCTTCATAGGATGACACTGATAAACAATTCTATATTTAAATAAAGATCAAGGAACCGAATGCTTATTTGTTTACACTGACAGAAGATAAAGTTAACTACCCTTGCGCTCCGCTCCGTAATGTGATTTACTGCGACAAAGAGCAGGCAGCGGG